ATATAATAAATCCAACTAAAATATTTTTACTAATATCTTAATGAAAGTAGAAAGCAGAAGAAATACACTCCACAAGAATTTTCTCAGAAATTACTGGAAGAAACGATTATATTGGTACAGCGACGGGTGTGGACGCGAAACCAAATTTCAAAATTTTAAAGTTCATAGTTCATACTAGTAGTGCACGGCTAGTTAAGGCCATATCAATACTATAAATTATTGAGAACTTTAATGACGTGTCCTTTTCTTTGGCACTGTCCTTTCGTGTCTGGTACATCAAATGGGTTTTAACTTATCCTAACATAAAGTAAACAGTGAAAGGCAACCCTTGTAATTTGAAAAGACTGCCTTGCTGCTGTTTATTTGTCAAATCGGACATCAAATCACATTTCAAATGCATTTACCGATAATGAGCGATGTAAATTGCACAACTTTGCAAAATTTTCCAAATTTGTCTGTGTCAATCTTCAGCGCCCACACACGCAAGGACTATTATCACCTTCGCGATCGGTGAGACTTTTAACTTCAATTATACTTTGGCACGTGAATCGTGATGAATTCAATTACCCATGTTTTCTTCTCTTCGTCCAAGGCAAATTGCTTTCTTTGGTCCTTAATTTTTGGCTCAAAGTATAAATTGGTCCTCAACCTTCACTTTGTTAGTTTTGCGGTTCCAACATTCTTCTAGTAGTCATTAAGACTTCAAAGATAGTGTGTAATTAGGGACTGTAAATGAATTACGCTGCTCAAGTAAAATTTGAGTGAGAACCTGACTTGACTTGGGTTTAAGTTGAAAACTCGATAAAGAAATAAGTACAATTAAATTTAAATTATAAATTAAACTCCACTCAATTCGATTTAATTGTATTAAAAATTAATTATATATTAAAATTTAAAAATATAACTTTTATTTAATTTAAATTTTAAATTAAACTCAAATACTTGATAGAGCTTACAAATTGAGTTCAAATCCAAGTTATTTAAACTTATTAAAAACTTAAAATAGACCCATCATTTTAGCATCAACTCAAGTTCAAATTCTTAAAAACTCAATTGTACTTCTTTACAATATTTAGTGTAATACCCACAAGGTTAAAAGATTTGCTTTAGTTTGCGTACTATAAATTACTTTTTTACCGTTTTCTTTTTAATGGACCCATTTGTGAATTACTTACGAAGCCAAACTTCTCATATCTACAAGTCAAAGTCTTTAGGCAGGACAATCATACAAGCAACAAAGTTAGAATAATATCCAAATGACTAATTAGATTTTACGTTTCAGTTCGGTTAAACTTTATATTAAGTTTATAAACTTATTTAAATTTTTGATTAAATTTTTAAATTTTTATTTAAATAAATAAGTTCTTAAATTAATAATTTAGATAATTTGATCTTTATTTTTTTTTCACACTTAATGTTTATTTGTATAA